CAGTTAAGAGGTCACAGCACCAAGCGTGACAGAGTTCAAGAAGCGTTTGGATGATGCTGTTAGGCACATGGTGTGACTCCTGGGGCTGTTCTGTGCAGGGACAGGAGTTGGAATTGATGATCCTTGTGGGTCCATTCCAACTCAGGGAGTTTAATGATTCTATGAACAAATCAATTAGAACAAGGCAGGAGGGTAGTGAGTAGTCCAACAGCTGGAGGTTTTTGTGGAGCAGAAAAGCTAATAGCTTAGCAGATAAATTATTTAAATACTATGTATTTTTCTCTGTTTTATCTTTATAGGGATGCTTGAAATGCATAAAAAAGGAATGACTGGAAAATGTGCCTTCTAAGCCATTTTCCTTTCCTTAGTTCTCCTGGGGTTTCTACTAATTCTGACTGGAGAGAAGTAGGCCCATGAGATGATCCCTTTTCAACTGCTTAATTTGAACGCAGCACAGAGTACCTGCTTCTGAAACCCTGCAGGTTACAGCTGCTGTAAAGAGCAGCAGATTACACACTTGGGTCAGTGGGGACCACGCCATGGACAAGGGGGTTCTTTGCCATATGCTTGGCTCTGTGGACTTCATTGTAGTGTGGTAATCCCTAGCACAGTAAATGTAATTTTGCTATCTTTTAAGTTTCTGGCTAGATAAATTGTAGTTCCATTCCTTACTGAGTGCTAAATGTATCTAGTCTTGTAAAAGATAGTAAGCATAGCAAAACTGAAGGCTCTGTTTAAGTAGGTGCTGAAGGGAAACTCTCACCTGTTCTAGCTACAGTCAGTGTTGACTGAAAGAGAATGGAAACTTTACATAAATCATCATCTGTATTTTTTTCCACATTACTTTAGTGTCAGATCTTATAAAGCTGTATGCATAGAAACCATATTCTAATTAAAAGACCTTATCTAATCTTTTTTATTCACTCAAGATTCATCCAACTTCTACCATTTCACTGATTTGGAGGATTTTGTAAAATGACTGTTTTCATTGACATCACTCTTTGAAATGATGACAGGGGTTTTTTTGGCATACATTTTCTCTCTTTTTAACCAAAACGTGTTGGGCTGTGGAAATTACTTAAAATTACAGAAATGAGAAAAAAAATTTCTCATTTTGGCCTCTCTCTGCTATGCATTCTTCAAGAGGAATCTTATGTGCATGACGACCATTTTCTACTACCACAAAAGAAATACTTCAAAAGTAGTGAAATATGGCCCAAGCATTAGATCTGTATTGGAGACTCATAGAAAGGGACTTGAGAAGTAATAAAAAATTAATTTGAAATAATAAAAAAAGAAATAAGTAAAAACATAGGTTGCCTCACCACTATGATTGTGTAAGTGTGTGAAACATTACATTTTATGTATTAGTTAGGAGGAGGAGTGTAGGAAGAAAAAGAAAGCTAACATCAATAATCTACCTTCATTTTGGAAAACTCAAAAAAGAAGATAAAGTGGGACTGTTGCAAAAAGCCTGGCTCCAGGTCCTTGATAGCCATTGGTGCTATAAGGTGACTATGAAGTTCCTTCAAAGTATCTGCTTGTCCAGGCCACTTCCCTCAGCTTCTTGTTTTCTTTCCTAAAACAACAGAATTCCTATATTGAACTAAGACTAAAATGACAGATCTTCTTTTGCTTTTAGAATTAGTTGGAAGATAACAATCTCTCAACTGCTTGTAGCCCACTGATTTTACCAGCTGCCAGTCTGACTCTGAGATGACTTCACAGAGACTTAAAAACCTGGGGTGAAAACTGAGGGCCTGTCCTTCCTCCAGCAATTTCTGTGTAGCAGCAATTTTCTTTCCTTCCTCACCAAACTACATGGCCTCATTTATTCTGTGTTGTGATTACATACTAATTCTTTTACAGTTTAAATTGGGTGATGGAAAAAATATTATCTGATTCAGTACCATGGTAATAATAATAATGTATTAAACAACAATAACTCCAGTAGCAAGATGCAAATTTCATCAGGTATCCATCCATCTGTTACCAGGAATCTGGGGAATGCCAGGAGGTTGGACTGGAGACCTCCTGTGTTTCTTTCATGTTCACTCTCATGAATTAAAAATAGCGGGTTTGTGCATAACTGTATTGTGGTTATCTGGTTTTTAAATTTTATTTATCAATCACATTTGAATCTGAAACAACAAAAATTCCATTACAGCATTGTCTTGGTGGCTTCTCCAATTCCATCACTTAATTTTTTCCTGTGGCTTCACAGTAGAACCTGACTGGAGAGTTCTATAAAATGCAGTAATACTTCCTATTTCCTACATAGACTTTTTTTTAAATTTATTTAAATCTATATTGGAATTGTCTGTATCTATCTTGCTCTCTTTATTGGTCATTATGTAATAATACATATGAGAAAGTGCATATGAGAGAGTCTTTTATGATTTCATCATAATTCAAATATTCTTTATCATTTTCTTTCAAGTTATCATTGTTAGGAATGAAAAAGAGAAACCACAACTCTTCTACAGACACATAAAATTTCGATTCTGTCGCGGGTAGTTCGTGAGCAGTCAACTGTATTCCTTGAAGAATGCTTGGTCTGTTTCTTACATTTGAGAGATGCCTTTTAGGCATAATGATTGTAATATTTTTAATGTGCTAATGGTTACAGAGTGAGTTTTGGGGTGATCTGTTCCACTCTTTTTCATGATGTTATTCTTTCGCTTCAAATAAAAAGTTGTTGATGATCAGTTACGTCAGATAAATTTTTAATACAAAAATTATTTCCAATCATCAACTCTGCCTATTTTGAAAAGGAATTTAATGTAGTCTGTGCCATTGGTGTCATCAAGAATAGGATTAAGAAGCAGGATTTAATTCACTTAGCTGTAACAGAAGTCAGAAATAGCTCTAGGAGTTAAATTACTTGTGGCAGAATTGTTTGTTTATGTCCCTAATATTCCTTTGGTATATTTTTGAATGATAGCTCATTTAAGCTGACTCACACATCTGAAAGGCTAACATTTTACCAATATTCAGTTACCTTATTCCATATACTTGTTAGTGTAAGAGGCAGTTTAACTGAAAAATGAATCCTAATAAAATGCCTTTTTAGTAATTCATTTTGAAAACCATTTGACCTTAACTACAGTGAAAGTAGACTGTAAAAATCATCATAGATTCCCTTCCTTGAACTTTTCATAATGCTGAAAAATGACTGAGGGAAAGGAGCAAGATCCAGTTACTGTACCCTGTTTGAACAGCTGTACTTCATTGAGTGGAGGCTTGTGTTACACACAGTTTGTGATAGGAAGTAAATACTTTTAAAACAACTAAGGAGACAGGTCTTTAACCTCCACCTTTTCAGATGCTTTGTTCACTCATTTAGCTTCTGTCCAAGTCTTGGGAAACATTTCAAATACAAATTATTATTGAAAACTGAAGCTCACCTGAATAATTCATTCCCTAATGAACTTATTAGGCAGAGATGCACTGAGATGATGTTGAAGGTTTTTTTAGAGAGAGATCATTAATTCTTTATATAGTGAACACTTCTTCCTTCAGGAACAAATGCATTTAAAGAAGAAAGAATTCTCAGATTCAGTGTTAAGTGTTTTGTGATAGTTGAAATTACAGATTTATTTCAGCAATTGTAAGTATTTTCAAGGACTTAGACAACATTCAAAAATGTTTTCATGTAAATTACCGATTTGTCAAAATTAATTAGATTTAAAATTCTCAGTTTCTAGCGCACAAGACTGTCACCTCCTGTGACAAGACTATCTAGTCTCCTGAAATGATGAAGATACCTTGAGATTCATTAAGCGGACTTTTGGCATTACTTTACATTGCAAGTACATGTTAATTGCCAGACTTAAACTGTTTGTAAACTTGGCACCAGACAATTTCAGGACTTTTAAATACACATTATAAGATGGTTCTGTGAGTGTGATTCTAGTATCTCCAAAGGCACTTCTCTAATGGCTCTGGTGAATCAAATCAGTGGCAATGGGAGTATCCAGATGCAGACAGCCAGTCCACCTTTAATTTCTGTAATTGGACTTTGTGTATACTTCATCCCTTGAGATACATGAGATCTTAAAGGTAGGTTTATGCTAAACAGGCACTATTTGGGCTGCCTTAAGCACACACCTCTTTCACTTTTCCTATGATTAAGGTATACATCTGATGGCCATGAATATTTTTGTCCTGAGGTCTGTCTGTCTTGCCACTTCAGACTGGACAGATATCACTATACTATACACCATACAGTGCAGAGAGGCCACCCAGATCTGCACTTAAATGATAAAATGCCTTGAAATATAATCAGGATTTTAAATATTCTTCACTGCATTAGAGATATCATGACTTCAGAGGACAGGGCTTACACTGGTTTTGCCCTTATTCTAGCAATTTTTTAAAAACTGTAACAACGTCTCTCCTTTGGTTGGGTCAAGGGTTCCCAGCATCATCTGCTTGTTTTTCCATTTGTCACCAGTGTTTTGTGGTCTGTGGTACAAGTGGGCTGAAGATTCATGCATCCCAGAAAAATGTCAGCATAAAAGCTGACACCAGTTAATTTGTTTTAATTTGCTGCAGAAGATTTTTAGAACATTTGGTGTTCCCTTCTAGTCTTGAAATATAACAAATGTGTTCATGAGAACATCCTCGGTCCTTGTCTCTCTGAATCCCATAACATAGCTCCTACTGATTCATGTTATCAGGACTCAGCTCAGGCTTTCTTGCTGTTTAATTCTCATCTCACACATCCTTCTGCTCTGCCTGCAGTAATTTTAGTTCCTGCCACAACCTCACATTCCTCAGCATGAAATTTACACTGAGTTGTGTCCACTGACAGACACGTAACACAGCCTACCCAAACTCAGCTTTGAGGATTAGGTTTTATTATCTGCTATACTATGGTAAAAGCAAACTGTTAAACTTGGAGATTAGTTGCTTTTAGCTTAAGAAAAAAGGCCTTGGGAAACAAATGTTGCTTTTTTCTCTAGTACAAACTTCATTAGAAATTATGTGTTTTGCAGAGGTTAATATACTATGGGCTGCGCACCAAGTACACCATAGTTCTGAAGATTACAACTTATTCACAGCCTTGAGACAATCTGTCCTTCAGAAATACACCTCCTGGGTAAGTTGCTGAATATTTGCCAAACAGTATCAACAATATTTAGTAAAGGTGAAAGCATAGTGTTTATTTTCCGTCAGAGAAAAACATTTGATAATGAAAGCACAAAAGGTGAAACTGCAGAATCTGAGAATCATAACCTTTAAAACATATCCAGTAACACTCATACAGAAAAATTGAAAATTTCTACAGTACTTAAGTTAAAGAAGGCTAATTATATAAACCTACATTTATATTATCATAACTTTATGAGTAGAATGGGGAATTTTTTTCATTTGGTTATTCATGAATAAGTACAGGAAAAGAACAGAGTATAATGTACTTGAGAATATGTCTGTATGACTAAAAGAATCAGGGAGAGAAATAATTGTTTAAAATTGATTTGGTCAGGCAAATGTATTTTCTTCTCTCTGCTCATTCATGTCGTATCAGTACTCTAGTATTTAAGGGCAGGTTGTCACTATTTTTACCTAGTGTTATTTCAGATATAATGTATTTAAAATGGTGAGCTGTGTACATATGCAATATAAATCAAGTATTTAACAGATTTAACAATGTTTATTTCCAAATGCATTCATAAATGTAATGTAATATTTAGGGTTTAGTTCTAGGCCCAGGATAACTGCTGGTTTCCTCAGTTGCACTCTCATGTTCTCTATTGACGCTCTCTCTTTTTTCACTCAGATTTTATTTTGTCTGGTTGTTGTTTGTTATTTTAAAAGAATAACTTCAAAGTTTGAATTTTCAGAATTACCGTTCAAAAGGAATATTGTGTATTTGCATATATAAATATATACCTATAATTATATATTTGCATGTATATACTCTCCAATGAGGCATAATATGGGTGGTGAAGGGTACCCACAGTCCTTTGGCAATCTCTACATCCAGCATGTGAGCAAATGGCTCAAAGTCAAGAATGTGTGCTCACACATGCAAATCCAGTATAACTCCTTTAACTTGGGTAAAGTTAGTCTGGATTTATGCTTACATAACTGAACACGGACTTAGCCTGGTTTTGGTGTTTTCAGTTCATATCATTAAATTAGTTAAAATGCTAGGTTACAAGAAAATGGCTAGTTCTTCTGAAAATCATGAAGCAGTGCTATTTTTTAGATTTGTTTCTTAAAGTCTTCTATATAAATCCTTGTGTTTTTTGTTTGTTTTGTTTTTTTTTTTTAGAAAATAATCATCTGATATTAGTAAGAGTACCTAAAATTTAAATTGCTGTAAAGAACAATAGTGGAATAGAGGCATCTCTGTGACAACTCTGCTTCTTCTTTAAATACTGCTATGTTAAAGATTTAACCTTTGGCCATTTACCATTTGGGACCATATGTGCAAATGCTTAACAAAAACAGTAATTCAAAAAAAGACAAAAAGCCTGTGTATACATATGGATGGTTGCATGAGCACTTTGTCTGCCTGCGTGATTTTGAGCATGATAGCTCAGAAAGCATAAAATATTCAGGAAGACCGAGATGTCTGGCCACCTTGAATTCCAAAGACCATCCTCAGGACCACACTGGTGGCACTTGGCAAATAATATATGTGCACTTATAACTCATTTGCTTTGTGCAGAGGAAATGATCCTAGGAACACATTGTACTTTTGTGTGCAGTGTTTTTTTTCACCAAAGATTTGATATTAGCCAAAATGTGGTTAGTGTAAATACTGTTGTTCCTCCTCCCAGAACTTTTGAGACATAAGCCAGTTTTTTTTCTGCAGAACCTTACTGTGCATGATCACGGTTCTTGCTAATTCTTAACAAACTGGTATTTTTGGATTACCAGACTTGTCCAAAACCATGTATGGATCTGCCTTGGAGCTGCAGCTCAGCAAAGCCTTTAGTTAATCTCTGAGAGTGATCTAGTTGTTGAAAATGTATTATACTGTGTTGTTGAATGCAGTTTAACATTCAGTTTTGAGGAGGCTGTGAGAAAGTTGTGGTGGATGGTGTGGGGTTGTGGGGCTGTTCTACTGCCAGCTCTGTAGTGTTTTAATTTAAACATTGTAAGATAAATAAATCAGCATATTAATCTATGTGGATTGTGCTCAAACTGATAGAAAAGGTCTGATATGAAAGAGAATTGCAAAATGTGCTTGACAATCAGTGGTGTGAGATGTTCCTGAATTTGGAACCAAATGTGCAGTGCTTCGTGTAATTTGCATACACAGTGTTTCTGTTTCTCCAGTGGAGAGGCTATAGAGAAGCAAATCTACTGTGAAGATTAAAAGATTGTATTGTAGCACATTTTGTAGCAAAAGGACATAGAAAAAAATATATTAATTTTTAAGAAGAAAATTACAAACTAATGCCAGATAATGCTATATAAAGGAATATATAAGCCATGAAACAGTCAAAGTGCAGTTGTGAAAGGAGAGATTTGCACGTGCACCTTGAAAAGCTCTGATTTAATGCTTTGAGTACTGGTTCTCAACTTTCCTCCAAGGGTAAGATTTAATTGCAAGTATTAGATCCATGATAATTTGATAGCGTTAGACTATACAGTTAGATAAAAGATTGAATAACGTCTTGGTATAAAAGCAAAGAAAACATTTATATATAAATCTGGAAAGGGAATAGGTAATGTAGTTCTTTTCAGCGCAGTCAGAAGTTCACTTGTCTACTGAGGAGTCTGTCAGGACTGCAAGGGATGTGTTTTGTGGTGGTGTTTTTTTTTTTTTTTAATCCTTGCCTTTAACTCCTGCAGATTCCTCACACAAGTTCATGCCCACACAAACTAGTTCTTAGCAGCTGTCCTGCAGCCCCCCACGCCCTGCAGACCCTCCACGGCTGCATCAGCAGATGGCCCCAGAGACCCAGCGTGGAGAGGGAGGGGCTCGGCACAGGAAACTCAGCGCTCCTGCTATACCCTCAGGAGTTTCAATTATTTCCCTTTCTGTAGTGGAAGCATTTATAAACTTTTACTTACAAAGGAAAGGGAGAAAGGTAGAGATGCCCCCATCAGAGAGTATGCTGTGCACGTGCACACTTCCAAAGGGGCAATGCCTTTGGTGTGGAGGCAGAGCTGCAGTGCGGCAGCCCCATAGGAAAAATTCCTCTCCACTCCCTCACTGGGTGCCTTTCCCATCAACTATTATGGCACTTTCTCAATGTCTGCTACTGAATCCACAAGTTGGAAAAGAACTGTGAGTGTAATAAACATTTTTCTGCAGTTTTGACCTGAAATCCGTCTTAAAGCCAGGAAAGCTTTCCCTCTACAGAGTAGTGAAAGTTGGCATATTTTCATGAAATGTTTTAATTTGGTGAATTGGCATGTCCAGGGAAAACTATTTAATGATTTCTTTTTTTTTTTTTTTTCCTGACATTGATCTTGTTTCAGTAGAACCACGAATAGTAAAAACGAATCATTGTATGGGTTTCATTCCTCCCTAAGGGTTCCACTTCTGTAAATGCTCTTTGTAATCCTTTCTGTGCAAAATAAAGCTGACATTGCAAGGAAATGTGAGGCAGTTAGGAAAGCAGTCTCCTTTGTCAATCTCAAATTTACCTGTAGATTTACATACAATTTCCTGCATCTCACGACTTAGCAGGAAAATTCTAGTACTCTTGTGAAAAGCAGGTAAGAAAATAAAGATGATCCTTCCTTCTCCTCTGAATGGTCTGGAAATACCACCAAATTGCCTCTGATATTTTTAGGGGAAAAGTGTAGTGTTTTAACCCTGCTTTCAATCTTGCAACCAATTGGAAAACCATGGGGGTGTGTGTCTTTTGTGTGTGTGTGTGGGGGGGGGAGTTGTTGTTGTTGTTGTGATTTTTGTGTGTGTGTGTGTGGTTTTGTTGTTTTTTTTTTAAATCAACATCATCTCCATTCCTTTAAAAAAAAATTCCTGCTGTTATAATGCCATTAGACTGGTATAGGAGAAAACTGAAGTAGCGTTACTGAAATGTGGCTGTGTGTCCTATTGTGTTGTCTTCTATGTAAGATAACCTTTGAGAAAAAACATGACAGCCCTCTGATTGTTGTGGTGCAAATATCTCGCAGTGGTTTGTGGGGTTTTTTGTTGGTTTTTTTTTTTTTGGTATCTCACCTACTTTTAACAATTAATTACTAAAGGGGTCCAAGTTAGAGGAAGGAGGAAAAAAGAACTCAGAAAAGAGATTGGCTTCATACCAGTATTTGGAACATAACTTCTGAAGTACTGGGAAGCTTGCATTACAATTCTGTTTAAGAGCATTTTGGGATTTTAAAGTCCTCTTCTGTTTGGTAGTCTTCTGCACAAGACAGTGTGATCTGTGTTTTTAATTCTTATATACATCTTATTCCAACCTCTAATCCAGAATTTCATGCCTAAATGTCACCTCCCCCTGATGGTATTTACCAGTTCCCACCTTAGATAAGAGTTGCTGTGGTTTTTTTGTGAGTTTAAAAAACTTAGGCTGAGTGATTCTTATGGATTGAATGGCCAAATTTTATCTTCCAAGTTATTTTGATTCCTTTTTTGTTTTATAAATGCTATGCAAACACATCAGCCTTTGAGGATCAGAGTGATTAACAAAAAATAGCTGTTTACATTATTTCTCTTAAGTTCCAGAAGCTCCATATTCTTCTACTACCTTATAATTCCTTTAATTCTTGGAAAACAACTTCCAAGACATTCAACTAGAAACAGCCCATGTATCATTTGTGGGGCAGCTGTGATTCATGAAGTCTTTGAGTGTAGTTTTTGAAATCACAGCTGTCCCAACCCTGTCAGGTGATCCTAGTGCTTCAGACAGTGTCTGGTGTTGAAGCCAGCAGACTAAGCTGAAATTTGAGGGCCTTAGTCCTCCTTGGTTTGTCACAGTGTGATATGACTGTGGTGACTTCCTTGAGAGCATCAGTAACATCACAAGGATGGAAATGCAGTAGTTTCGGAGCCCCAGTGGGACATCTACCTATTGGGCAGACCTTTAGACTATAACTGAGAGAATGTTGTCTTTAAATGCTATGTCCAAATCTACACTAAAGGAATTCCTGGTTCAGGAGGCCTGTCATGGTTATCAGACTGCTTTCGCTGATGTTCAAAGTTTTGATTTTAGTGAAAAGGACAATAGGAATTTGGAAACAGATTTTGCTAATTTTGCCATGTTTCACGTGGATCTCTTGTCTGCTGCAAAGATTCTCCCTGAGTGCTAAAGAGATTTAAAGTTTTAAAGGTGCTTCTGCTACTTTTTGGTTTAGGAAAAATCTCTGTATTTTAGAGAAGGATTAAATTTTTATTGCAGGTGGTACAACACAATGTCAAATACAAGGGGAAAGAAAAATAGCCTTTTTCTGAAGAAAGCAGATGGACTTTTAATGTACGAGGTCTATTGCTCAGCCAGTTAAACAATTAATTGTGAAATTCCTGGGACTTACTCTGTATGTAAGATACCAGGGTGTTTCCGAAGTAAGAAGTTGTCTGATACTGTTTTCATGCTAGCATGTTTTAGGACTCAGACTTTAAGGGAGATGCCATAGGAAAGTTAGGGTGAGAATTTAAAGTTAACTTGGAAAGCCAAGTAAGCGGCTTTACCCTTACAGTGCTCATGTAGGCAGTTTGGATGCTAAGACAATGGTGTTATAAATTCGCACCTTGTTTACTCTATGATAATTTTCCCCTTTAAGTGAACCCTTCATGCCAGGGATATGATGCTGTCTGCTCCATGTAATACACAGAATAAACATCTATTAGCAGGATTTATGAGTTCTTGTCTTGATTTTTCTACTTGCTCAGTATGACTTTTGGGAAATCACTTTTGGATCAATTTACATCTCATTTGCTATAGCACATCTAGTAGTAACATAATGATCAGTATCTATGTATGCTATGGAATTTCTGCGTTAAGGACATATTAGAAAAAGCAAGTATATCGTGCAATGCTTTGAGCTCCTGAAATAGTACTTCATCATATTATCATGAGTTTAGAATTATATATTTAATATATGATTTTTTTGTTGTTTTTCAGATGTTCAACTTGCCCATGGCTCTTTTCATTCCCCCTTCGGTGTTTGCTGTTCATTTACAGTTTAATCTACTTTACCAGTTTTGGATACACACAGAGGTAAACCAGGTTTTTAAGCCATTCCTAAACAGTTAGCCTGGAGCAGTGTCCTGGAAATCCACTAACAGCTGATTTATTGTGTAAGAAAAATCTTTGTCTGATTTCTTTAAGGAGAAACATCTGTTCATTTTTATTCCTTTTTGTGAATATATATTGCTAAGTTTATAAGAAGCAATGAGGCCAGTTGGTCCCAATTAAATTTAAAAGTAACTGTGAGGAATCAAAACTTTTTGCTATTTTAATAGTATATTTTCCTATCTCGCAGCTTATTAAACATTTTTGGCAGATAATGAAACTGATTTCATTTCTAAGATAAATATTTTAGGGAAAAATATCCAAATGCTGGTGCTTCTTAAAGATCATTTAGAGCTGCAACTAAAGTCAGATATTGTTTCTTTTGTAGCACAAGTAATTCTCAGATGAAAAATGCTCTTTGCTTATTTGATGGCTATTTGTTTATGACTGCACCACTTTATTTGTGTTTTGTGAGTGTGTAGACCATATCTAGTTTACACACAAATGCAGTTAATAACCCACTGTAATTAATGGGTACTTCCCACACCGCTCAGGTAGTCCAACAACCTTTGCCTTCTTCCTTGCACTACAGTAGAGGTGTTTAAAGGTATTCCATGTTATAGGTCAGTAGCGTGTTTTTCAGTAGGCCCAAGTGGGCTGTGGGCTAATTATTTCTACAACATTTCTTTGATTATTCTGCCCATACAGAGCCTTTTCCCCTGCAGTTTCATGATGTGATATGTAGGACAGTTCTTTGGGAAAGCAATTTTATTTTCTTTATCTGCTATTTTAGGTGATAGTGTTGTTTAAATTACACTTTTTTCTTTTATATTTTCTGTCTGTTTCCTTAAAAAAAAAGAATTCATGGAAAAATAAAAAATTATAGTGAACCAAGAAGAAACTTTGGTTGACATTTCACTTCTGTTGGACACATTTCTAAAATCATTAACACGTTTGATGCTCTGCAATACCACATGAAAAGGGAAGGCTTACGATAAAATGTCACAATCACCAGAACTGGCATAAATTCAAGCAACACACAATTAACCTTTTAAAAATGTTTTTAACAAATCCAAGGACTTTTTGAAACTACTGGTATGAATCACATGGTAGCAAAGTTTCTTTGCTCATGCTTTAGGTTTCACAAACTACTTTTAGTGTGTTTTGCCACTCAGAAAAATGTAACATGCCTCATCTACGTCTTCTCTGATGTTTGAAGCCATCTCTTCCTTGGCTGAGAGGTTTTTAATGTTCTGCTGCATAACAGTAACTCAATGAGTCTCAGCACTGGTGCCACAGTGTATGTCTAAAGTTTCCAAAGTGAATTTCAGATGCTTATGAATTGCCTACATCCCTCTAAAGTGCTAAATCCTTCATAGGGCTTAAAAGGAATTTCCATAGCATATGTGCAATGTGCCAAGTTTAGACACTAGTCTAAACAAGAATGAATTTCAGTCTCAGTGAAAAGATAAGCACTCCTTACTATTAAATTATTGTGCCGGTAGAAAAACAATGGATCTTTTGTACTGATCCAGTTGATCCACTCATAGGACTTTGCTTAATGTTGATGTTGTTGATTTTTTAGTGCAGCTGAAATCGGTTGAAATATGTTGAAGTCATGCTGTAAGGTCAAATATGATGTCAAAATAGAAATAGGGTTACAACATGTATTAGCAGATTTCCTGTTCTCAAGGGCAAGGGATTGACAGAAAACAGTAAGAAAAAGAAGGGAAATGGAAGCAGCCATGCAGCTTTACATTACCCAATATTTTTGGTGAAATTATTATGATACTTCACCTTTATATTCATTTTTCTTTGCAACAACTATTAAAATTTAACTATTTATAGCTGTGTCATCTCTTTTTTTTTTTTTTTACAGTCCTTTTGTGAATTTTAATGGTTGTAATTATCTCAGATTATGTTAATATCAAAATTTTTTCTGCAAGTCTCAGTTTCCATCAGTTTCCCAACATGTGAGTTTTTTTGGGGCTGTAGACCTGGGGTTCTATGGAAAACAGTATCCTGTCTCAGTAACTGCTTCTAGCTGTTGCTTTGAGAGCAGATACTTATCATCCCCCAGCATCTCTGGTGCCCTCTGGGAGCCCATGGTGGTTGCTGTTACAGCCTGAGAGTACATGCAATTAGAGGGCTAGGGGAGATATTCGCTATTATGTCCATTCTGCCGGTGCAAGACGTAATAGTTTGCTTCTAAAACGCAGGAGCAGTTGGTAAGAAATGTCAAGTTTTTCCTCAGATTTCTGTTGCTTTTTCATCAGTGTTGATGTTTCCTTAGATATAGTTTGTCACTTTACAACTTTTGATTGTTCATCTTTCTCCTTGAGGAAAATAAAATCTAGAAAGATACAGGGGGAAAAAAAAATCTTTTTTCTTTTTCTTTAATAGGTGATTTTCTTTTTTTACATAGACCTGAAAAGTGTAAGAAAGAACATTCACAATTTGGTGTTTTATAGAAGAAAAAACCACGTGATATCTAACTAACGGGAGAGACTGAAAGTATGTGAAAGTTTCTGAGGGAAGATGTTTTGTTTTGGGAGTCATTTACGTTGAATTCAGTAATTACAAAAGAATAATCATACTATGCTGAAAATTTCTATGCCATGTTTCAGCCTACAACAAAATTTTATAGCCAAATATGATCTCTGATATTTTTCTGCCTTTCCTACTTAAATTTTACATGTGTCCAGTGTTGTTTCAAATGATGTTGAGAAGTTTCCTGTGTTATAACTTTGACTTTTCTTTTGTTATGTTAGGGTTTTTTCCAGCTTTCCTATAAGAAATGGTCAGACATGGTCTATTTTATTTTATCTTAAGTGGCTTGTATATTCTCTGACTACAGTGTCATAAAGATCAAAAGTAGACGCTGGTTCTATCTCATTTAGATTCTGTATTTCCTACATACTTGGCATGTGTTAGTTTTTGTCTTTTTGTATAAAATAGTACAGCATTTCAAACACTATAAACCTTACATACCTTACCACATTCTTGTGGTACTGGAATCTTTTATTATTAGAACGGGCTATTGATACAGGAAAGGTGTATCTGAAATTAATAAAGAAAAGTGGGGTTTGCTAGAGTGAAAACACAACTTTGTGACTTAACATTATGCACTTGTGTTTAATTATATTGTCCCATTACAAGAATTTTTGTTGTCAGAAGTCTCCCTTTTTTTTTTTTTTTTTTTTCACTGCTTCTGTGTATTCTGGATGTATGGGCTGAGGCCAAAGATATGAGATTCAAGACCAAGTGGCAGGTCCTGCATTTTGATCACAACAACCCCATGCAGCGCTACAACCTAAGGGGAAGAGTGGCTGGAAAACTGCCAAGCAGAGAAGAACATGGGGTGCTGGTCAGCAGCTGCTGAACAGTGTGCCCAGGTGGCCAAGAAGGCCAGTGGCATCCTGGCCTGTATCAGCAGTAGTGTAGCCAGCAGGACCAGGGCAACAACTGTCCCTCTGTACTTGGCACTGGTGAGGGCTCACCTGGAATTCTTCGTCCAGTTCTTGGCCCTTCACTGCAAGAAAGTCACTGAGGTGCTGGAGCAAGTCATGAGGTGCTGGAGCAAGTCCAGAGAAGGGCAACAGAGCTGGTGAAGGGTCTAGAAAGTAAGTCGTGTGAGGAGAAGCTGTGGGAGCTGGGATTGTTTAACCTGGAAAAAAGGAGGCTGAGCGGAGACATCAGTCTCTACAACCCCCTGAGGAGAGTTTGTAGCCAGGTGGGAGTTGTTTTCTTCTCTCAGGCAACCAGCAATAGGACAAAAGTAAATAGCCTCAAGCTGTGCCAGGGGAGAGTCAGGTTGGACATCATGAAGAATTTCTTTACTGAAAGGGTGATTAAGCATTAATGGGTTGCCCAGGGAAGTGGTGAACACACCTCTGGAAGTGTTCAAGAAATGACTGAACATGGCACTTAGTGTTGTGGTTTAGTGACATGGTAGTGTTTGGTCATCAAGTTGGGCCTGATGATCTTGGAGATCTTTTCAACCTTAATGATTCTATGATTCTGTGATTATTGCACCAAGTGCATGGCAATCTGAAACTGTATCAGATTTTTTTCAAAGATATTTAAAAAAATCTCTGAGTAGCATCAAGATGTTGAAACAAACTCCTAATCATTTATTTAAATGAAAAATGGAAAAACAAACAAACAAACAAACAAACAAACAAACCGAAAAGCAACATTTGGCAGTTCTGGGTTAATGGTTGGACTTGATTTTAAAGTTCTTTTCCAACCTAAATGATTCTATACTTCCATGATCTCAATAAATCAAGAAAAAACAATTTTTGGTTCTATCCAATTCTGTTTAGGTCAGTAGAACAAGTCAGTAGATCTGCTCCTAAATAGTCTGGGAGAAACATTTCTATGACCAGACAGACCATTCTCATGTAGATCATAACGGGAGTGAAAAAACAACCTTCAGTCAAAGAGCACTAAAAATCTAATTTTTCAAAAGCCACAAAATTATTCAGGACTGTTACTGACAGACAGAAATACTGCATTTCAGTTTATTTTCACAGGTGATTCGGAAGGTCTATGGCTTATATTAAACTATATCCTTCCATTATGCATTTATTACAACCAATAAGTTAGGTGTGTTTATAACCTGATAGACACCTGTGAAAAACAGAAATTAGTTTCTGTTGGTTTAGCTGTAATTTTTATGAGATGTCAAATTGTATTTGGAAAGTATCAACTGATCCAATCCCTGATGGTAGTAATTGCAGCAGCAGATTATTCCTTGACTGTTTGATCTTTGACATGTATTAGTTTCTGTTTAGTTTTCTAATTTAAGGAAAGACTGTAATCTGCCCTGTAGCATACTCACAGAGCTCAGGTTTTTAAAGGCATCTCTTTTTGCCTTGTTTAAGTCTTTCTACCCTGTCGAACTCTGGGAGCAGAAAAAGGTGAGCCACAACTATTAACTGGGAGTTACATGGGTGAAAACAGGTGAGGAATGGGAATAATTT